TGGATTTGTTTTTAGGGATTATTTGGTGATTAACTGATTATAGATGCGCTGGAGGTTTAGATGGGATTGATAGGATTGCTCGAAATAAGCGGGAGTCTTTCGAATTGTTAGTTTGGGAATTGTAATTATGAAAAAATGTTTAACATTTTCTCTGTTCGCTTCTGATTATAAGGAGGGTGGTGAAATTAGGTTACCTCTGTTAAGTACATTTTTTGGAGGTTGGTATATATGTGAACGAAGTAGATTGTGGGTATAAAGACAGTCGACAGCAGTTATTTTTGTGTTCTACTTTGTGAAAGAAAGAAGTTATGGTTTTCCGGTTGAAGTTATTTTGAACACGAATTGATTGAGTAGAAAAATAGAAATTAGGGGAGTTGAATGAAGGGTTTTATATTTAAATAGACTTAATTTGTGTGTGCTCGCTCGAGCATGTTTATTTTTGAAATTGAAGTTTAAAGTAGTTGTTGAATTGTTCTGAGTTGAAAGATTTTAGGCTGTTGTAATTCGCAGCTCCAGTATATATTGTTTACAGGTTGCTAAAAAGTTTGTTCTCCGTACAGCATCCCTCGGTGGCTTCTTTTGTTTTATGTTCTTATGTCTGGCATTGATGTAGTTCAAGAGATTAATTTCTGTTTTTTTGTGCAGCTTTGATCGTGATTGGAAGAAGATTGAAGCATTTGTTGGTTCAAAGACTGTTATCCAGGTAATTATTTGTACTTTCAAGCTCTCCTTTAGTCTAGTAGAGTCATGTTTTCTAAAGTCAAGCGTGATTGTTGTATGAATTTCTTATTTCACCTGTTTTTTGAAGATATGCATTATAATGTTCTCTTTATTGCATGTGATATGAAATTTCCTTAATATTGTTGTTGCTGTATAACAATACATATTTGTTACTTTTCTTTTCTTTTTTTTTTGTCTAGATACGTAGCCATGCACAGAAGTATTTTCTTAAAGCACAAAAGAGTGGAACCAATGAGCATCTACCTCCACCTCGCCCCAAAAGGAAAGCTGCTCATCCTTACCCACAGAAAGCCTCTAAAAGTGGTTAGAACTCATTATATTCATTTATTCTGTCTGAAAGCAGCCAGTTTTTAAAACTAACCCTTCCTGTATATTGGTGTAATCTGAAGTCCCTGTTGTAACACAAGATTTATCACAATTCCAAGCATCCACTGCTGTTCCTGGTGCTGAACTTCTAACGATACCCGACCATTCAGCTCAACTCAAGAATCCCGATGCTGCATCTATTGATTCTGTTCCTGCCTGGATAGACAAACCTGTGTATAGTACCTTTTCGCACGTGGCCGGAGGTTCGCTTATTTCTGCCAATTATGAAATTCATACTATTCTATTCCGATGCTCAAGGAATTTGCATTTTCAATGTGAAGTTACCATTCTTATTTTGTTGTCAGGTGATGCCAGATGTGCTGCACAGTCGCTGCCTAATATTTACCCTTCCAGTGGCAATGAAAGCATGACGAGGTCGAGGCCCACAGGTGACTAGGTTTTAAAATTCAGTACATGTTATAATTGATTAGATTAGAAAACGTGCAAGCCACGCGACCTGTAGATTCCTACATCTTTTGTTATGTATGGAAAAGAGGCAACTGATGGCTGTAAAAGTCTCAAATTAGGTGTTACTGTGTTGATTAGTGGGAAAATGCTTGTGCTTATTACCATATACTCCTACAGTCTTTTGCGCATGATATACTGTGGAGTGTGTATTACCGATTACGTGACGTGTTTGTAAGTCAGCATAAGTTCTCCTGAATTTGGTTTTGTAGCTGTAGTGTATTTTGTCCTTTTGTTATCTTAATGGTTTTGTGTGAGCCTCTCTCTGCCTTCTGCAGTTACGTTGGTCTGTTTTAACATTTATCTGCTCTGTGTTATAGTCTATGTTATGTCACCCTCTCTGTTATGGTCATACCTCCTATTAATCTTCAATTCTCATTTAAATGCAGTACTTCCTGATTTCGCTCAAGTATACAGTTTCATAGGCAGTGTTTTTGATCCAAATGAGACAAGTCATTTGCAGAAACTAAAGCTGATGGACCCAATAGATATTGAAACGGTATGATTTTGAAACTTGTATCCAGTGATCATCTAATTTTGTCTTTACTTGAAACTATCAATTTACTTTGTGAACAAGGACCAAAAAATGAAATCGGTTGATTTTAAACATTTTAAGGACATGGGTCTTATCTGCAAGTCTGTTGCACGCTCTTTAAATATGAAGTCCTGAGTGGTCTACCTTGTGATATTGAAGTTTATTTTTCACACCTCTGCTGAACCTGCATTCTTCTGAGTGCTGAAAACCTATATATTTAAGACTAGTTACCATATAAACTTGTTGAATTGCATTCTTTGATCAATAGCCATGTACACCCTTTGTAAATCTTTTCATCCTGCCTTTCTTGCTCCTTCAGGCAAAGGGTTGTTTACCCTGGTCACTAAATTTATGAGGTGGTGTTATTGTGGTTGTTTATACATTTCCTTTCTTTCACAAATAGTGTACAATTTTCATACAGCTGATTAGGAGGAGACTATCTGTATTCTGCAATCTACATCTTGCTGAGCTATTTTATCAGATATTTTGTCTCTCAGTTATCTTCAATTTATTATTTTGCTAAGAAAATAAATGGAAAAAAGAAATAACAATGGTACTCAGTGTGTGTGTCTGCATAAAGAATGTTCAGATGGAGCAAATAGTGCAAATTGGTTTTGATGGATTTCTTTTGTGGGCTTTTTTAAACTTGAACACAAATTTGCATGACATTTAGGATTCCTGTCCCCCTCATTTTCTCAAAGATCTAACCTGTAGGACAATTACATTAGAATATCTTTAGGCTATGCCTTGACATCTTACTGTGTATTTCTTTTTCTATATGCTTTCTCGTACAGGTGTTATTGCTGATGAGAAATCTTTCAATCAATCTGGCTAGTCCTGATTTTGAGGTTCATGTAAGTGCAAAATTGTTTTGCATTGAAATGTCAAATGCGTAACAAACTAAACTACTGATTCTTGCTGCTTCTTTCATTCCTTTTCCTTTTCTCTTTCTTTCCTATAGTTAATTGTGGAATAACGTACAATTTAATAAGTAATTACTTATTTTCGAATCATTATCTGTGCTAATACTGAACTGTACCCCCTTCATCTCAAAATACATGTAATTTTAAGTTTTTGCACATGATTAAGCAAAAGGATAGAAAGGTGTACTCTTTTCTATTTCCTATCTGTACTCCCTATAGATGAATAGTCATGTAATAATAATAATAATAATATAAAAAAATGAAACACGACTCTTGCAGCGAAGGCTACTTTCGTCGTATGAGATTGAACCCGAGAAGGACAATGCTATTGATGTAACTGATCCTATCCTTCTTAGCCCATCTGGGGAGGCAACTTAAAATAGACATGGTATTGGCATGTTTTCCATTATTTTCGACATTTTAGTTGTATTTTAGTGTTCTCCCTAATCATAATTCATAACATGAATGATTCTTGTTGGTCTGATAGAGAGTTTTCTCTTTAGTTTACTTGCAGGACCCGAGCAAACTTTGGGTGATGTCCCTGCAGGATGCAAATTGACCCAGTCCTGCTATTGTAAGTACTTTGTCTTGTACATATCGATTTAGAATTAGAAGGAATAAATGTGAGAGAGAATTCTAGAAAGCTGTATCTGTAGATGCAAATTTTGATCCTCTTGAGCAGCTTCTTTGAAAAAAAAAAATGTCCTGTCTTTTGAGTAATTTGTAATAATTTGTAGAAAGTCAGATGGCTGCTTCATGTACCATCAATAAAACCTTTCACTTTAATAAATTATTCTGCAGCACTTAGAGAACCTTTGTGATTCTCCTTGTCGTTCGAGAGTTAATTTTCATTCGATCTTTCGCCAATTAGAGATAATGTCTGCTTATCATCACAAGCTTATTTATTAATAAGTATCATACTACAGAATCAGAGTTGTGTTGAGCTTGTGAATTGTGATCTCATTTTCCTGCAGCCAATCGTGAGCATTAGTTTGTATGTGAATGGACTGCGAGTTGAGGATAACTAACTGAAGTAACAAAGTTTATGATGGAAAAGCGAACAAAAAGAACAAGAAACAAGAAAATAGGTACATATACTACTGGAGGATTTTATGGAAGGGGTTCGATTTTATTGTAATAATTGAGTTGGCAATGTATTTGGACTCCGTTTTCTTTTTCTTCTTTTATCCCCTGCCTTATTTTTCACATGAACTTTGGGAATAAGTTAACTCTTGTGCAAGCTTGTTCAAATTGTTCAAATTGATTAACTGAGTTGTGCAAGCTTGTTCAAATTGTTTCACCTTACAAAATCGAACCTAAGTTGTTTAAAACCGTTAGTGAAAGTTTTATTTTTTGTGGGATGGAAGTGTATAAGATATCGGGATAACAGAACATTACACAGTTAAGTGAATCTATTAAACTTCAGTGGAGTGATTTTGTTATTTCTTGTGTAACTGATACCATATGAGAGGAAGAAGTAATGGACAGTTATGATCATTCTCTACGCATCTTACTTTTCTTCAATCTAATGCAGTTGCACATAACATATTGTTCTGAGTTGGCATATTAAACTAGCCGGGTTT